ATGTATATATGTATATATATATATATATATATATATATGTATATGTATATTTATATAAAGAGAGAGAGAGAGAGAAAGAGGTGTCAAAATGGTTCTCTAACTCTTTGTTAGTGTTATTTTAGTCCCAAAGTTTACAGAAGTTTCAATTTATTCCGTCTCTTTTAAAGGGGGCCAAAATAGTCCTCCCTTGGGACTATTTCAACTCATATTAAAATAGTATGAGTACTAATTTGCTTTTTTTGTAGTTCCTGGGACTAAAATGAACTCATGTAAATAGTGAAGGGTCTATTTTTGACACTTCACTCTATATATATATATATTTCATGCAAACTCATTTAGTATTATTGCAGATATGCAAATGCACCCAATGCTTATTTTACTGGCTATTATACTAGCCGGCCAACATTCAAGAGATTTGTTCGAGTGTTAAGTGCTTATTACCTGGTGCGGTGCATATTTGTGCACATTTTATTGCTTTTTTTTTTACTCTCACAAGCTAGTTGAGTTTCACTGTAATATACATAATCTTAAATAGGCTGCACGGCAACTAGAGTTTCTCGTAGGACGGAAACATTCTGGTCCATTGACATTTCCCTTGGGAGAGGCTTTGGCTGTTGCTCAGCATCATGATGCTATCTCTGGCACTTCATTACTCCATGTAACAAATGACTATACAAAACGCCTTGCTTATGGAGCTTCTCAGGTTTGCATCTTGTTTTCTGCACAGTGCCTTTTTATGGTTGCTTTATTTATGTGGCTATCTTTTTTGTTATCTCTTTCTTAGGCATTTCATAAGATTTTCTATTATTGTTTGATTTTATAGGCTGAGATGGTTATTGACCTTGCTATTCCTTGTCTTTCTATTCCGACTGAGAAATGTGCTTCCAATTCCTCATCAATAAAGTTAAGCCAGGTATGAAGCTTGTGAATCTTCATTGATTATCGTCAACTGTCTTTTAACTAGAAATAATTTGGCAAATTTTTTATATACTACCTTATCTAGTTGTAGTGGGAACTCGTGCTTATTTTTTCTGAGAACTCTAAAGTATGTCTTTGTTATATCAGTTTTGCCTTATTGTAGATTTAGTTTGGATCTTTTCTTTTTTTTTTCTTGAACATTATCTGAGAATAGGGACAAGTCATGCGGAGTTCAGTTTGAATTTTATGCATAATTTGATAATGCTTTTCATTTAAGCAAACATCTGTATAAGATATAGGATATCAAAAGAGCGACCAAGGATTAATGGACATACTTGTAATGCTCTTACTCTCTAAAAGATTGGTCCAGTCAAATCTTATATATATATATATATATATATATACACATACATACAGACATATTAAAGGTGAAATCGATAATTGGTCTAGTGCTACTCGCTGCTGTCGGTCAACTTTTTTTTCGATTGATTAATTATGAAAATATAGTATACGGAAATAATTTTTGAAATTTAATTTAAGTATAAGAGGTATATAGTTTAGGTTTTGAAAGTAGTATGTTTTAAAATGAGACCAAATAGATTTCATTCGTCCAATAGTTTGCATAATCGTGCCTGATACCGCGAATACTACACCCTCCCGAAAGATAAGTGTTGACCTCGGCGATAGACCCAATCCAGCAAACTAAGAGATTTATGACATTCGTTTAGTCTGCGAACCTTTTATATATGACCGACAAGTTCCCCTATTTAATACAAAGATTAAATAGGGTTTATTTTATCTGGGTTCCAAGTTCTCTATAGAGGCAAACCCCTATAGTTAATTACATCCCAAATGACGGGAGTCATTTGAGAAAACTCTCGATAATGATCAATGGTTCTAGTCTTCAAGAATTCAAGGTTCAGGTTTTCAAAGTAGGACGTAGAAGAGCAAATGGGAGTGGCTCAAACATGAACAGTTATTTCAGGAGTCCAAAGGAAAGAAAAGGTAGGGGATGTCACAGATCCTGAGGAGAACCCTCAGTGACTTCCCAAACTATCCTAATGTGTGGCT